TCACTTGGGAGGAATATAATTTACTAGACTTGAATACCTGTACTCTCTCTTTTTTTTTAAGTGAGCTACTCTGGAAGATTATTTCTTCCTTTTTGTAAAACATGGGTTAAAACGGACAAACAATGCATTGATTTAAAATTTTCGATTTTCCTTGTTTCATTGGAAATCTTTTTACTCCATACTGTTTGCTTTGGTTAGTCATGGATCTAACAGTTTGGTCACTAATCCAAAGCAAATAGTAAATTCACTTGGGAGGAATATAATTTACTAGACTTGAATACCTGTACTCTCTCTTTTTTTTTTAACTGAGCTACTCTGGAAGATTATTTCTTCCTTTTTGGTATTTATATGCTTGAATGACTGTAAGGCTAGTGGTTCTAGGGAGGGATTAATTTGCCTTTAGGGGACATTTGGCAGTGTCTAATTGTCACAACTAGGCGTGTGTGGGGATCAATACTGGTATCTAGTGGATCTGTAGATGCTAGATATACTATTAAAAATCCTATATCTACAGAATAGCCCCCCACAACAAAGAATTATCTGCCCCCAAACGCCAGTCTTACCAAGGTAGAGCGATCCTGCTGTAGACCAATTTGGGAATCATCAGTGTTTAGACTGTATTTGAAGCTTTGAAGCTATGGGGCTGGATAAAGTCACCTGAATTTATGACTGTCCCTTCAGTTCTGGAGCCTTATCTGCTTAGTTGATTCTACCATTTAGACAGATATAGAGAAATGCTTCTGATTCCTGTCCCCCAACCATTTATTGAGAGACCAAACTGCAACCATCCAAGTTACCTAAATATGTTTGTTGGCTAATATACTATGTGGTTGCAGATAAAAGCCGGTAAACCAATACTGTCTTTATAGTCCTGAACTCTTATGGAGGACTTTCTAGACCTCTGATGAAAAGTATTTATATTCAATATGAAAAGAGTTCTGGAGATTGGTTGCACAACAGTGTGAATGTACTTAACACTACTGAACTGTACACTTAAATATGGTTAAGATGATGAGTTTTATGTTATTTATATGTTACCACAATTAAAAATGCCTACTTGTATCCAGTGCTCCATATTTCCTTATGCAGTGTTCCAGTGTGTTTTTCTAAGACTTTTGTTGTATTTCTTGTACTGTTTTTCTCTTGGTCAAGAGAGTTTATGATCTCTCAGGTGATTTTTCATTCTTTTCCAAATGCTCCTTAATTTTTAAAATGTACGAATTCACCCTTCTCTTAAAAGATTGGACAATACTGGATTGATGTGAATGTATAATATTTGGATTGATTTTAGCTTATAAAAGTTAATTGAAGTATTTCACTGAATTCTTAATTTAGGGAACTATATGTAGTTGTTGTCTGGATATTGAAAAAGAATTGTTTAGCTTCAGATGCTTTCAATATAAAGTTTACTCAGGATTTCATGTATTGCTTTTCTTTCTATTAGGCTTTCAAGGATATGCTGTATTCAGCTCAGGACCAAGCACCTTCTGTGGAAGGTAAGATGAATTAACCCTTAAGTTTAACCCCAGAAAACCTTTTTAAGGAAAGATATTTTAAACTGCAGA